GCCTGTTTAATCAGGGCCCTCAGAAGAGTCGACGCCATCTGCCTCCACTCCAGCGAAATCCTCTTGACCCTCGAGCGAAACCGTGGGCTTAGATGTCGCTTCATGGGTGAAGCTAGCGGGCAGGTGCGCCGTGTGAACCCGCTCACGCCATGGTAGTAAGCAAGCACGGGCTCACCTGGCTGACTGCGGCCCTGGTGGAGATTGTAAAATGAAGAGGCTTGATTGTGTAGGAAGGTGTGCGGGATTGGGAGAAAGACGGATGGCAGCCATACTTTGAACAGAATCTTTGATGTGGTGAATGTTCATTAGAGAGTTATGAATTGGCACGAATACACCTGTGCTTATCTTGTTTATTGGGTAATCTGCCACTGAAGCTTCCTGTCACCAACTTTCCGTCCAGAGTATTACATTCCTTCCTGTGTGCTCCCAAAGTAGCCCTAGAGTAAAGTGTGCTAAAGCATTGGGCTGCTAATTGGAAGGTCATCCATTCAAACCCACCGGCCACTTGAGAGAAAGACAAGGCAGGCTACTTTTGTAAGGATTCACAGCCTCTTCTACTCTGCGCTGCAGGGTTGCTGTGAGTTGGAGTCTAGCCAATGGCAGTGGGTTTTGTTTAGCGGTATGTTCCCTAGGAAGTCTAGAGGTACAATGCTTAATCAGTCCACTGTGTGGCAGAAGGGTCTGCAATTGGAAGCCTGCAGGAGAAAGAGGTGGTCTGTTTCCATAAAAGATTCGCCACCTTGAAAACCCTATGCGGCAACTCTGCGGGTCCTAGAGGATTGCTATCAGTCGGAATTGACTGGGGGCAGTGGATTGATGTGTTGCCATACCGTCTCATTGGACCACTAACAACAGGACTTCTGCATCACCTCTTATCTAGGTAGAAACAGACCCATTAGAGATAAAACAGTTACCGTGAGTTAATTCCAGTTCATAGCAACATTATAGGACAGAGTAGAACTGTCCTCTCAGGGTGACAAGGCTTTATATTCTATACAGAAAACAAAAATCGGGACAAGGGAACAACAAGCGATCCAAATTGGTGGGGAGGTGGGTGTGGGAGACCTGGTAGGGCATGAGCAAGGGGAATGT